TTTTTTTTTTTTTTTGATATTTTGATAGATTACAGACTTCATTATACCAGCATTTTATTATTTCAAATCTGAGTTATTGCTGTGGTTTTCTGCCAGTCTGTCACATTAAGTGGCAGTAACCACGTAGGTTACTTGAAACACGGGCCTTCTGCTTTCCACAACGACCCATCTAATTCTGTACAACTGCAAGCTCCAAAGCCACCAGAAGTAATTCCTGCATACGATGGTTTTCAAAACCAACAGAACTCCACATATATCCAAGGATCTTCTGCAAGGTTTCAAGCTTCTTACCAGGTTTCTCAGGATCACCAGTCATCCCTGCAAACAGTTTCACAACCTTCTGATCCTCTTGACTCACTCAAGACACCCAAGCTGCAAATGTCAGCAAATCCTAGAATTGCTCCAAATTTACCCTTGAATCAATTAAAAAATGAGCAAGGTAGCTCTGCGACTGGTGGAGCTGCAAAACCTGCGTATATCAGTGTCCCAATGCAGAAGCCGGATGAAATATTTGCGTCAAATGATGAAGTTGATACCACGGTCAAGGTTAGAATGCTCTTGTATGCACTGACTCCTAGACCAGATTGTTTGACATTGAACAAAAATATGCTACGTTGTTACCGAGTGTAATTGATTATAGCAGAGACCACATAAACAACGACTGTTAAATATAATCATTTGTTAAATTGAAAAACCTAAAATTGATGTCTACAGGACCTTAAATCATTTGGATGAGATTGTATAATAGTTTGGGCACATTTCTAGTAATGTAGTTTGGGAATAAGCAGTCATTTAGTAGAGTGGAGTATCAACATTGCTAAACCGTTAACTGTTGCATGAAGCTTTGCCATTTTGAGCTGAGGTCGATGACATTTGATATCTCTGGAAAAACACTAAGAATCTTATATGGTTTACTTGTAAGTTTTTCCGGGTACGCCTTATACACTTTTTTTGGGCAACCTTCTGAACAACTATGAGATCCATTCGAGGAACATGGGCGTTAGTTGAAGTAATCAGCCCCCCCGTATGGGGAGGCTCATTACTTCAATTGCGATTATGGAAAATCATTCTTTGTTCTAGTTCTTTTTAGTTGGAACTTTAGGCGGTTCTGGAAAAAAAAAGATGGCAAAAAATGCTTTTTACATTTTGTTGTTGGTATTTGGTACCATATACAATTAATTTTGTAAAGCTGACCTTGGGTAATGGAAATTTTTGAAGTGAACAAATTCTTATTTGCCATTTATCCCTCAGTTAAATTTTATATAAGGCGCAATGGATAATGCACTAACTGACATAGCTTGCTTTTGTAGCATTGATAGAAGTTTCTAGCATCTGTTATTATAATGTGGTTAACCTAGGGAAGTTCTTCTTTCAAGTGTTGTAACTTATACATTCTTCGTTTACTGAGAACGGGTTCGGAGCATTGGTTGTATGGATAAGAAAAATAAAACTGCGATAATTCCCAGTTAAGTAGAATGAGTTATATGAGTGTTGTACAGTGTTCAAACTTCAAACCAATGTATTTGTTCTGATGGAGGGGGTAAATGAATCAAGTCGAGCAACATTCTATTTATGCTTTTCTGAAATTAAGTCTAGCTTCATAGGTTGTGTTTAAGTTTGGTTACAAGTTGCATCTTATCGAACAATAACACTGAAGTTTGAATCACGTCAAGCTCAGAGGAGCTCTTAACTATCGACCTCAAGTGAACACTGAGTAACTTTGTTCTGTTTTCTAAGCCACATTTACAGCTTGTTGCAGTCAATCACTGATTGGTATGACAGATTCTGTAGGCACTCATTTTTATGGATGTCTTTTTGTTACTTTTGCAGCCTGGTGTATTTCCAAAATCATTGCGCGGCTATGTTGAGAGGGCTTTGGCTCGCTGCAAAACTGATAGACAAAAGGCAGTTTGCCAAGCTATAATGAAGGAGGTATAATCTACACACTAGATGCTCATTGCATAGTTTTTTACAACCTTGAGGCTGAATAGATGTTGGTAAAATTCATTTTGAGTGATGCACACTTTATAATGGAATATCTGAGATTCTGAAAATAATGACTGGACGTGATTGTTGCTATCGACGCATGGTCTCAGACTTTAAATTCATAGATTTGTTCTTTGTGATTGTGAATAATATACGTTCAGTCATCTCATAAATTGACGTGGTTTTAATTGGTGAAGTTTTTTTTTTTGGGCCTTTGTAATGCTATTTGACAAGGGCATACTTATAGAAGTAGCAAATGATTGTTATGAACCTCAATAAATATAGTTTGATACTAGTTCGATGATAGTCATATACCTCTTGTAAAATGTAGATAACAATGGATCTGATGTAATATTAATTTCTAATGTACTTGTTGATGTCCTAGTCTGGTACCGAGGATCGATGAACTTATGGGGAAATGATTACTTATTTCAATAGATAATGTTCTTCCTGTGTTTGGTGAACATCTTAAAAGTGTTTCTTTTCATTTGTTTGGATTATACGAAGAATGAAGGTATTCTAGTGGTAAAGCTGGGCTGGGAAGTTCAAGTCTGGTTTATGGTGCAGTTTGAATATGAGAAACTTCTCAGCCTCCATAACCGTTGCTGTACATCTCTTCAGTCTTTAAGTCTGATGTTTTTCAGTAATTATCTGAATATTTGTCATTTAATGTCTTTTGCGGGAAACATCAGTGAGGAAAAATGAATATCAGGGTGGGGAAGCTATATATAGTCCTTGGTGATCAATACTGGGTTTCTTTCTGTATGCAGTTTGAGTTTTTTAACGTGCGAAAACGTTATTGAAGCATAAGTTGGGGCTTTCTTATCTAATTTACCTTTTGTAAAATTGAGTATTATTTTAAAATATATTTCCATTTATGCTGTGTTAGAGTTTCAAAATGGCTCTGGCACTAACTCAGGATATTCAATTTTCCCATCCATTCGTGCCATTGTTTTCATAATTCATGTGTCGGTTGGTTAGTCTTGTTTGAAACTTTTGATATATCTGTTCTTAGACTTCCATTCTGTACCGATGTTTCTATATTAATTTGACTTTGTAGTTATTGTATGTTTAGTTTCAGATTACTGTATACTTTTATTTTAACAATGTTTTTTTGTGTTCTTATCACAAAAGAAATGGATAAAGAAAAGACAATTGTATCATTTCCTGAAGCAGTTTTACTGAATAATCATCTGTTTGGACTGTTTTGTAGGTCATACTTGTGTCTCCTTTGATCGTAACATGTTATTTCTCATTTTATCACCTAGGTTATAACTAAAACGACGTCTGATGGTACACTTTACACGAAAGATTGGGACATGGAGCCTCTTTTTCCTATGCCAAATGCTGATCCTGTTGAGGAGTATGTTTCTTTTACTTGATGAATATAATCTTTGTATGGAAATGGGAGGCAATAACGAATGTTCTATTTTTATCCACAGTAATACACAATTGCCAAAGAGTAGGAGTCCTAGTCGGAGAGCCAAAAGTAGGTGGGAGCCTGTTCCGGAGGAAAAGGTGGTTCACAAATCGGCTACTATTTCCCCTGGAACTGCAGTACATGGAAGTTGGAATTACAAACAGGTTCGATAAACTTATAATGGCATTATCTGTAGGTATTACCTGCACTGAGTAGCCTTTTGGGTCCTGTGTATTTTTTTTTTTTTTTTTTTTTTTAACATGTATGGTTATAACTTCAATACTAAAATCAGCTGCTGTAACTATCAGGTTCATCCTTTTCAGTAATTACAGTCTTGAATCATCTAGCTTAAGCAAATCCATTTGAGTTTTCTGTTTATGTAAGAAATGAGATAAAAAGTGAATGTCTCATACGATCATTTGGGTGCAATTAGGCTATCTGAAACTTGCAACTTTTCTTAATATTCATTAAATAAAAGAGACTTCTAGGCTGCCTGGGTGACTGATGTTTGCTCGCTTGTAATCATAATATCTTGATTCTTGCATCAATAAATGGGGTCAGATTGACTCGTTTTCTAACATCTCTTGGGCACTGTGAATCAATTTAATTAAGTGCTGCCTGATGTTACGGGTGATCTGCTGCATTTGGACATTTGCAGGTTTGTGGTGGAAAAACAGAGAGCAAAGACAATTTGGGATCCAGAGTTTCTTTTACATATCAGAAAGGTTTCAGCAAAAATGCTGCTAGACCTGCTAAGAGGCTGCGTCTTGGTGAAGACCTTAATACTGAGGATGCTGGCGAACCTTCTAGCGATAGTGACAAGGAACAATGTTTGACAAAATATTATTCTGCTGCAAGTACACTTGCAAATTCACCGGAAGAGAAGAGAAAACGTGAAAATCGATCAAGGCGCTTTGACAAGGGGCATGGAAATCGAGCAGGAAAAAGTAATTTTAGAGTGAGTGATGTTGGAACTGGTATTATGCACACAAGAAGAGCTAGCGCCTTGGTACTTAGCAGAACTTTGGAGGAAAGTTGTAGCAGGGCTGTTGAAGATATTGATTGGAATGTCCTTACTGTCAAGGGAACTTGTCAGGAAATTGAGAAACGCTACTTGCGGCTTACTTCTGCACCTGATCCTGCTACGGTGAACTGCATCGTTTTCTTTGAGTTGTTACGCAAAGGAATCTTTTTGAAAACTGATGTTCTGAAGATAGGCACTCTTTGCAGGTGAGACCTGAAGAGGTGTTGGAAAAAGCATTGCTGATGGTTCAAAATTCTCCAAAGAATTACCTTTACAAATGTGACCAGTTAAAATCAATACGTCAAGATCTTACTGTACAACATATACGTAAAGAGCTTACAGTAAAGGTACTACTGTTTGAACGCACCATTCATCGTACCATTTTGATTCCCCATTTTAATGTTTCCGTGTTATTTTTTTTTTTTTTTTCCTTTTTTAAAAAAGTTCTTTGCATAGTTTACAGTCATTATTTTTTTTGGTGAACTTGATGTGATTACAAACTCCTTGAAGTCTTACTCAATTCTATTACCCTTATCTATTTTATGTTGTTTCACTTTTGATTTTAGGTATACGAAACTCATGCTAGATTGGCAATCGAAGTTGGGGACTTGCCAGAGTATAATCAGGTTAGTTACTAAAACTTTACCAGATCTTAGATGGGCATGAATGCGTTGTGGATTTACATTTAAGATTCATAAGGCTTCTTTTTCTCCATGCTAGTTAACCCACTGATTTTTTTGAAAAGTAGAACTATCACAGTTTTTATATTCTTATTTTAATACTTCTTGTTTGTCCTATTATACTATCACCAATTAAATTCCATATTTCTCATTTTCTTGATCCTTTACATATTTCTTTTAATGAGAACTAGGGATGTAGAATCAATACCAGACAAGCTGTTGACATGATTAATGTAGGTCAACATGATTGACTTGTTTGGCTTCGTTGACAAAAATCTTGAGACCAACTCCGTAAGTTTTGTTATGGCCTCCTCGATAGTATTTCAACTCGGGATTCTATGGTTGTCATTTGTTCGGCAGGTTGGACCAATTGTTAGGAGTTAAGGGTCGAAGTAAAAAAAACTAAATATTATTATGTAGAAAAACAAAGAAAAGAACACTAGGTTCTCCTCGGGGATTAATCCCGCCCAAGCTATAAAGCCGCAAAACAATTTTACTTTTCTTAGCCTCACTAAAGACTAAGAACTTTCTTAAATAGAATACTAATCCTAGCAAAATATAACCCTAATGGACACCTTAACCTTATGCGCCTGAAATTCTACTACAACAACAACAACATACCCAGTATATTCCCAACTGGTTGGGGTCTGGGGGGTCAGTTGTACGCAGACCTTACCCTTGTAATTATACAAGGAGGCTGTTTCCGTACCGACCCAAGGTGCATTGCGTCGTTTGATATATATATATATTTTTTTTTCTAGAAACTTCACTAATAGAAGAAGCACTAGAATTTAATTGAGCCATTTTGATCTAGTCCATTATTAGCACTATGCCAGGATAATTGTCAACAATGACTCTTCCAGCTCCATTTACAATGGACAAGCCTGAAGCCTACTAATTTATTCTAAATTATCTAATAGAATGGCCTCTAACAATGCAATCCTCATTCAAAAACCTTGTCCTCAAGGCTGACAGAATGAAGTAGTCCAAGATCTAGCTGGCATCAAATTCGAACCCATGGTATTTAACAAAAGCCTCAGTGTCACCTTCTGCAGCAATTAAGGCTTGAACAAATCATTGGGGCAGATATGCACCAGGGTGTACGGTTCTTTACACCAAAAACAAATCCCTTTTGCTCGGAGATCTTTGTACTATTGATGAGAATAATGGCGATGCCTTTTTGAACAACAGAGTGGGTTGCAGACGGAGGACGGAAGGAGAACTGGAATTTAGAGGTGATGCGGGGAAATTGTGACCACCATTTTGTTGGACATGAGTTGAGTTGTCATGGGCTGATTTTGCAAATTAGGTTAGGTAATGTAGCACTCATTTAGTCCCAAAACCGTAGTGCAACTTTCCCTGATTCTGGAGGTTGGCCAGAAGGTGTGCTATGGTGAAGAAAATCAACTTCACGTTCAATAGAGTGGGCAACGCTAAAAGTCAATTCTAAATTACTACCAAACATCTATTGTGGTGGAAATCGATATTTTTGAAACCCCAGTGATCACAAAACAAGCACTGTATTTTCTCTACATTGTTTTTAATTGAAATGCAGTTTTTTAATATTCTTCTCTTTTCCCTTAGCTGGAACATGCCAGAAGACCAGTTTATAGATTATTGCTAAACAACATTTCCCCTGTGCAGTGCCAATCACAATTAAAAACACTCTATGCAGAAGGAATTATGGGATGTCATATGGAATTTGCAGCATACAATTTACTATGTGTAATAATGCACTCAAACAATAACAGGGACCTTCTGTCAGCAATGTCCAGGTCTGTTACCATATCATGAGTTTTGCAGTCTTGAGTTTTTATTATTTGCAAGATTTAAGTCTATTTGTTGCATGATTTGTTGGTTATAGCCTGATCTCAAAGATGATTGGAGTACTGATGTCCAACCCTTTCTCCGGAGCTTCTTAATTTTATGTGTGTGTGTGTGTGTGTG